CAAGTTTCAAAAAAGACCTGACTACCCCCAACTCAGTTTAAGCATTCCCACAAAAACAAAGCTGGAGAAAGGCGTAACGTTTTCACAGCACAGCAAGGTCAAACTGAACACGTCTCGGGCCTAAGATTGTAATAGATACATACAGGTTTACAGAGTAACAATTGTGGACTATTAATAAACTCTCAGCTGCACGATGCTATTATAGACCATTAAAGAAATTTTCATCTTGAATGTGCTATAGCACAAAAAGCAGCACAGGCATTTGCAAACAGTAGATGCTATCAAGTGGCACACAGTTCTTAAGATCTGGGCACTTAATTTAGGTGCCTGAAAGGACCCAGTCTTTTCCAAAAATTCAACCCCACTATGAATAAAGGACAACTTTGAATTAGAGCCTAACTCTGGAAGACTAACAATCTCTGCCAAATAAAATCAATTAGCTTCAGAACGCTTTCCTGTCTTTTATGTACACGAACTACAAGTTTACAACCTATTTTAAACCGCTTCAACCTAATCAAAAGTGCCTCACCTTTCCAGTCAGGCATACCACATAGTACACTCTGACATCAAGGGAAAGTTGTATACCGAGGCCCTGCCACATGAACAGGATGATTTGTATGGTCGGCCTGCATGTGTGAAGCAGGGCTGACACCTCCTCAAAGCACCAGAGCTGTTGAGGACATGCTGCAACAATGAATGCCTCCAAGAAATACCCTTGCAGCCACACAGCTATCTCTGTGCTCATGCTCCCAGGAAGAGCAAAATTCCTGTCCTTATTTTTGTTTTGTTTTTATTATTTGTGTCCAGACAACTTGGAGAAATGGAGATGGAAAAAGCTGCATGTTACACAGACTATCTTAGAAGACAAAGATCTTTCATGGTTATCACCCTTCTTGAGAAGCAACAAGACAGGACCTTACTTGCGCACATTTTAAGTGCAAACTGCAAGTTCACCACACACAGAACGCACTGTCAGCAAGGAAGCTACAGAGCTGCAGTGTCCCAGCCGAACGCTCCTGAAGGCAACACGCCGCTGTTTGGTTTTAAGTGACCAAATCCTGGATCTTGGCCATTACCTACACACAACATGCTGAGGACTAACTGTTCCTCTGAGCGTTCCATAATTCTGAACAAAATCATTTCTGCAGGTCTGAGCTTCCTGTAAACACGGGCACAGCACCAAAGAGATCACTAAACTGACACAGTGCAATTCTCTAAAAGTTTTCTTGTCAAGAGTCTTGTCAAGAACTCCGCAGCCAGCAAGGTTAAGAACTTTTTCCACATCCTTGAGTAACAGTTTTAAAAATAATGAACTAGAGGTGGGATATAAATCACAAAATACCTGTTTATCAAGGAGATCAATCATGTCTGTTGATGAATCACTTTTAGGGAGGAACCAACACTAAGAGAATTACACACACTGTAATTTGTATTTCCATTGTATTTTCATGAGAAGAGATCTGACAGAGCTCTATTTTTTCAATACCTATACTTCTTTCTAGGTAAGAAGCCCACAGAATGGAGAAGAATGAGGCAATCAGAGTTGGTCAGAAAAATCTCTAATTCTAACTCATTTGACATCCTCTTAAGAGGAAGAACAACTATAACAAGAGCAATTCCTTGTTGCTCATTTGAATAAAAACTGGTGATTCTGTGGGTCTCTAGCATTAGTTACATTTTTTACACCATTTGGGGTTTTTTTTGGCCACTTCATTTCTCCATATGGTGCAGGCAAGACTGCTATACTAAGGTTTTACATTTCTATTATCCACTAGGTCAGCTCTAGCAAACAGAAGTCTTCACTTACACCCGACTACAAATTTGTATCCTTTCATGATAACTATCACTGGTTTCTACCTGGGAAGATGCTAGAGATGCTAAGGTTTCTCCCTGGAAAAATGCTAGTTCTGGATGCACCCTCCAGAACTACTTTAGTAACTTAAGAAAATCTGAAAGATGTGCAATAATACTGTCATTTATGAATAGTAAATTTTTGCAACTCTGAACACGGATTATAAGATTAAGTTCATGTTAATAAGCACCTTATTAAAAATGGTATTCTGCAAAAGTCATAGAAATACACTTACAATCCAAGCTGTTTTCTATAGACCGTGTAACACAAGCTGCTGTGCATTGTAAAAAAAACACAACTTATTCTGGGAAACATTTCTGCTAAAAAACAGACATTAAAACCTCTCACTTTGTCTCTTGTAATTCTTTAAAGAAACTGAATTTAGAACACTTACCTAACCACGTTGCAATAAGAACAGAATCAATTCCCTCTATGGGCTCACATATTCTGGCAACTACTGGATGTATTTGCTGTGACAGGTAGTACTGAGTATCAATAGTAAGGTTGTCCTGCTTTTGCAACTGTTCTGGAGCATACGCTCGCTGGCTGGCACTGAGATCTGATCCATCCTAAGACAGAAGACACATAAGAAACAAAGTGTGAAAAAAAGTAAAAGCCACATTTGGTCTATATAAAGGATTAGACTTCAAATATCACACATTATTTTAACGCAAAATTACACAGTTACACTCTGAGTTACACAATCACTCTTTTTTGGTCATTATGCATCCAATACAAATCCAGCAGTAGTAAAAAAAAAATTGCATTGCTGATGCTGGCATCAACTAGCAAGTTCAAGAATGTAAATCCAGCTTGTATTATTGCAGCCTACACGTGCAAAACAGTAAGAGTAGACAGAGTAAACAGTCCCATCTGTCAATTCTGAAATGCACAATGAAAAGACATTGTAACCATCAGCCCAGTTAAAAATATGCGGAGGGCATGGATTTTGGATTCACTTTGTACTAAACTAGCATTATCATTTTGCACAACAAGCAAATTCTAAGTCATGGCTATCAAAACTATATCTGTTTTGCTAGGAAATTTATATTCTTTGATTCTATAAAGAAACAAATAGAATGCATGGTCACAGAATGGACCACTGCTCACTGGCATGCGAATAGATGACAGAGGCAGCAGTACTGATTTCAAAGAGCAAAGTCTAAAATATTCAGAAATACTAAACAAAACACACGGTGACATCTCAAGCCAAGAGAGAAACATGATTCAGAGTTTATAGTACACATTACATTCTTCTCCAACTTGAAAGAGGATGGTACAAAGAAAATAATACAATTTGGGAAGGCAATAATTAAACAGAAAACAGTATTCATGGAGGAATGAAGAATCAACTCTAAGAAGATGGTACTCTTCTGAAAAATGTAACTCAGTCTCTAGAATCGTATTCGCAGTCCACAACCACACTAGGAAATTTTATTTTTTAATGTGTGTCAAAAATCTTAGAGCAGAACTTGAAGTAGTATTTTAGCAAGCATTCAGGAATAGAAATAAACACTAATGGGGATAAGGGGCGGGGGGAAGTATCACAATTTATTTTTTGCTAAGTACAGTCTTTTTTTTGCCTTTTTCATGGCAAAATAAAACTAATGCTTTAACATATGACACCTTCATTTTTCAGTTAAGATGAGTTATTGGCTTCAATAGGGTCAGCAACCACGGACTGAACACCCATCACTAATAAAGACAGACTGCAAGCCATTGGTCCCTCCTACTCCTTTCAGACAACTTAGTATTCAGAACAAAATTAATTTAGGACTATTCAGCTCATCCAGCTGCTTTGCAAAAATAATTACAATGCAATTCCTTCAGCTCCCTTCTTTCAACAAGTACATTCTTCTCTTGTATTGTGCCATTGCTCAGCCGTAACCATGGCCCAGCTCTCATAAGTCTTGGCAGCTTCGTCACACAAGGCTAAGAACTCTCAAATAAAAACCAGAATCTTTCAGGTTTTAATGATGAAGGAGCTGGAACAGTGGTCCACTGTAGAAGTCACATTGCCAAGTCCATCAGTTTGGCATATGAGATCACTCAATCCATCTAATCTGACCTACACTTTTTTTTTTAAATAGCCAATCCAAAGTGGGGTATATATTTGTCAGATGCTGACAAGCACTTACAGGATAAACACCTGAAAACAAAGTTTCTGAAATTCCCCAGTCTGTCCAACTTCCAGATCCACTGACTACGAACTGAAAAGACACAAGTTGAGCCTGGAAATGACACTATTTAATGACCACCAATAATCAGCTTTCCAAGACTGACAGGTCTTCATCACCAGAATTTTCTTCTCCTTAAAATGAAGGCTGGATATTTTCCTTAAAAATAACTTTCAGTTCCAAAGAGAAATTAGTTCAGGAATATTTTATTAGCCACTATATGGAAACAGTCACATGAGCTGAGCTGATCACAATGGTTCTTCCTGGCTCTATAAAACTAAGTTTAGTACAGGAAACTGACTATTTTAAACTATAACATAATCTCAACACAAAGAAATGCCAAAACATTTTTTCCAGGAGTTGAGTTGGTTTTCTTTGCCATCTCTCAAACCAATACCTAGTGTTCAGCTATAAATAAAGAAATTTTTACCTGACAAATGATATATGACACTGTGTCTCCTGCCTTCACCTTTCGGCCTCCTTGAGAGTTTATCCACAAGGCAACATGCACATGTGGCAAGCTTTTTTTGTCAGGATAATCCTGTGGATCTTTTGTCAAAGCCTAACAGATCAAAGGAGAAAACAAAAACATAACTGTGAGAAAAGCATTTTATTTCAGTGATGGACTACTCAGAACTTTAAAGGACAAGATCACATAGTAGCTATCTGCATCCATCTACTATTCATAAGTACATTTGCAACACAAAGAAGTGAGATTAAAAAACTGTAATAAAGGTGTTTTCCAGACATTAAGGTCTAGGTACAAGTCCTTCATACTTGAAAAATGTTGTTATTAATAAAATGAGGGGATGCTTTTACAATTACTGTCTGAAAAATGCATTACATTAAAAGCACAACAGTTCAAAACAGTTACAGATACAGTGCAACTGTTTTAAAATTAAACTAAATTGAAGATGAAAACATTACTTAAAATACAAAAATACAGCCAGAGATTACCCTCTTACCCCTGCACCAGTTCAGGTCATAAAATGAATCTGAATATCAAGTAGATAAGTCTTTAACAAGCTCTGTAGCAAGAAGATATAACTGGCTTTAATTATTTCCAATGTCTCTCATACTACTGAGCTTCCACAGTGAGTTTTTCCTTTACATAAAATAAAATGCTACATTTAAATATTTCGTGTCATCCCAATTCTTAGAACCCACTTACACATTTTAATTCATTTTTTTCCAAAGCAGTAAAACAGAGGAACATTCAGCATTTAAAGTGAAAATTATTCCATATATATAATTTACTGGTATCCTAAATACTCTTAGAATATTTGCATTAGAACAGGTTTTTTTAAGTCAACCATAAAATTCACCGATTCCTGCAACACTCATATAGCAACCCGAACACATTTCTTAACTGACTGGTTAACATAGTCTTACAGAGCAGAGACACATCCAGCTGGCAAATGAAAGACTTTGGATGGTGCAAATTCAGGAAATCTCTTCGATTAGAAGCATGAGAGGGGCATGCAATACCCAATTAATGAGTGAAATACCCCCCCTAGCAGTGGGAGTGGGCCACTTTTGAAGTTAAAAATACAGTTTTCATTGTGGATTCATAAAAATAAACCAAAACTGCGAGGCTGTTTCTAAACCTCCTGTAGAACATGTAGATAAAGCAGAGCATTTTACTTCTTGCTGCAGGAAAGCCTTGAATGTGATCTCAAAATTACTATTAGCTTTCTTCTATGGAGCTTTGAAGGGAAAGAAACTAACAACAGTATGCTTTTACATAGGTTTTCTAGAAAACAGAACATTTTATTCTTTGCCAGTGTATTCTTCAGTTTATGTATATTAAACCTGAAATACAACAATTCAGGAGAAAACTTCTCCTGACAGCATGAGCTATCATGTCATTCTCACAGTGCAGAGCCAGTGGGGAAGACAGCAGGATGGGACAAGACACACAGCTGTTATTCTGAGGAAGCAAGCCTGGCCTCCAGCCCCACAAGGGTTTTTTTTTCCCTCATACTGTAGGATCTTTGCCGTATCTTCCAGGCTATTCAGTATCCAACGAAATTCCTGTTACTTCAAAGCATCATAAGGATTCAAAATATTTTTATCAGCAGTCAATATGTTCAGCAACAGTGAAGATTTTCTGTGACATTTACCTTGTTTATTTCAAACTGATTTACTGGGATCTGGCCATTGATCACATTTTCTCCAATTTCTATAAGCCGCCTTTGAATATTTTCCACAATTATGTCTCGGGGCTGATCAGAAAGAATCTGACCAATTATATAGCTGCAAAAACAGTCCAGAAATGAAGAACAACTTAAGACACACCAAGCAAAACCATTACAATAAACGCAACCCTCTCTTCTCCTGGGTTACCTCTAGAGATGAAAGAGCCTGAGGATAAAGTTTGATGCAAAAATTTACAGAAATTTGCCAGGATATTTCATATTATGTTATATTTATTTATTTATTTTACTAAAAGCAAATTATTGTAAATAGTTCTAATGTTAAACAGTGATTTGTAATTGCTGAGTACAACTGGTTTCTATTTTCTGCTCCCATTTCATCTTGCCATTTATTACTCCATAGCAGGTAGCTCAAGATGGGGGAGAAGAGAACATAACAAGTAAGCAAAGTCTCGCCTATTTCTGTAAAATGTGGTTGGAAGATCTGCCAGCTGCAGAAGAGTTAGTCACTAAAGAACACTCTCAAACATTTGTATAGCTTTAATTACTAATACATTCCTAACTTGGAAAAATTTGCTTCTATTATGATGCATCTTTTCTTAGAAAATGCAAGTCTTAAGAACAGTAAGCAAGTGTGTGGTGTATTTTTACAGATGTAAAAAAGTATTCATTTTTGGATGCATTTGGACCACAATTTATTTAAGTTAAGTTTTCAAAAGGCAGTACGCAATATAAGTTGAGTCAGCCCCTAGATGACCACCTCTCCGCCCACTCCAGTTTTCTTCCTACAATGCTAAATGTATTATTTCTATTGAATTTAAGTATGAAAATGCCCTGTGCAATGACGGTTAATAAAACAGCAATCCAATATCCATCATAATGAAGTGTCAGAAGAGTCTCATTTGAAAAAATGGAAGAGAAACAGTCTTTGGGGAAGGGATCATCTCCTCCGGCTGCACTCAGCGCACTTCCAGCTTTATTAGAGGACGCTGAAAGAGCTGACCACCAGCTTCTTTAACCATCTTTGAAAAAAAATCATCTGACCTCAAACCCATGACCAAACGCTGGTAGCATCTACCACTTTAACAAGATTTCAGCTGTGGTTTACTAAACTGCACATACAAAATTGCGACAACTCAAACGCACAGCTTCCACAGGAGATGCGAAACCAGACAGTGAAATCAGAGACGTTTAGACTTGCACAAGTATGATCTGTTACCCATGCCAAAATGTAATGTTGTCACCACCTCCCACAAAAATCAGTTAAGATGCCCTAACACTGGTGTTAGTCTCCAATCTGCACTGCTCAGGAAACAGCCATGTGGTATCAAACATTTATGAAGTGCGCACTGCTTAAAACAGAGCAAAGAGGAGAACGCCACAAAGAAACTCACTTTCCAGTCTCTTTCGCAAGATCACACCAATCTCTTCGGACTATATCCAATCCTTTCAGTTCTTGTTTGGTTACATACTTCCCGTCTCCTGTTGGCTCCACAGTCAGAGCAGCATATTTCTTCTTCTTTAGCAGTAGCAAGGACTTAAAGACTCCATCAATATCAATTTCCAACAATTTATAGAGCTTGTTCACTTCACTTTTGATCTGTGAATGCACCAAAATTAAAACCAAATGCAGCATCTTAATAACTATGGACAAATTTAACATCCATCTAGAAATGTATCATTCTTAAGTTTTAAAATAAGTAAATTACACACTGTGTGTTTGCGTACACATTTTAAAGACTTGTCAGATACCAGTAATCACAAAATTAAGTACACAGTAGTAACTATGAGCTACTATTAAAATTAAGGTTCATCCATTGACTTGGTCAGGATTTACAGCTTGGCAGATCAAACTCCCTAACAAAATTACGTTATCAAATAAAACAATAATTGTTACAGCAATAGTATCATGAATGTAATGTAGACATCCCTCATCTCTGAGCATGAAATTCTGAGGAAGAAATTGTTATGCAGTAGAACAGTGACACTTCTCAGAGCATTCCCCTCAACAGATACAATTCTTTATCCTGAAAATTGTTCATAGGAGTTGTGCAAAATAAGGAAAACCTAAATTATAGAAATTATGCAAAAAAGTCATTATTGCTTTCTTGAGGAACAAACAAACAAGAAACACATGAAGGAAGAAACACAAGAACCATTTTTTTATGTCACAGAAAGAATACTGAGAGTCACAACTTTCACAATTGTGATGCTAGGTTTGAGTGTGTGCTATTTACAGACATAAGTCTATTCACTTTTAAACAAGTGCACAAAATGAAAGCATTTATCAAAACATGTTTGGTTTTGTCATTTTTGTGGGGGTTTGGTTGGTTTGTTGTTTGTTTGTTTGTTTTTAAAACAACTCATATAGGACACAGAAGTACATGTGATAAAAAAGCCTAAGATTTGACTCTTAACAAGAACCATTAAGCAGGTGACAAGTTCAAAACCCCAACTACTCTCTCAGTAAACCTGAGTCAAAGTCAGAAGCATTTAATCTATGATGAGAATCCTGTCAGATTTTATAAAAATTATTATTTAACTGTTCTTCTATAATGTTAGCTAGCAAATGGGAGTACAAGGACAAAAATGAAACAAGAATGAAACCACACACGTGGCTAGAGGAAGATTAAACTTCCTTACACACTAGTGTGTATACACTTGGAAATTACATACAGTCTTGTATGTGGCAAACAAAAAAGAGATTTCTTTCTTCCATGCCATCAGCACTCCTGCTACTCAGTTACGACATTGAGATATTCTTTTTTCCATGCTTGTGAGATGCATCTACTTCTCAAAGTACCAACTAAGCGTGAAGGCAGAAGTATTGTGAAAAAAACCCAGAATCACTCTTGCCTTAAAATTACATGACTTTTGTTTAATACTATACTGAAAAAACCCTCTGTTTTCTTTGATTTTCAGAGCTTCCATAGCTCTCATTTTCATCACAATTTCTTCCATCTTTCAAAAGCTTCTCTCATCTTTCCTTTAAAATATTCTGAAACATTTCTCACTTTTCTTCCACAATTTCACAGAGCACCACAAAACCTCCACACTGTCAACTGCCAACTGCTAATCAAACAGATTTCTCCTGTAACTACTATACCTTGGAAATTAGTATTTTATTTTACCACTGGAAATCTGATGGCACATAGAGTGTAATACATACTACATAACTAAACAAAAGTAAACTGACAGACATCTCTCATGTCAAAACAAAAATCTTTAAAATCAAAATTGTGTTCACATTGTAACTGGAACTAATACCGAGGAATTGTACCTTACATTTTGGCTTACCACATGTTCAGACAGTTTCCTGGTCACTTACGACTGGTAAAAAAGCTCATTATACAATGAAATGTTTCATTTTAATTTAAACACTTTTAAAAATGCAGAGAGTAGTCACATCTGAAGATAGGGCACTTTGAGCTTTTACTACTCCATAGCTTCCAGACATGGCCAGGTTCTTCCTCATGGCTCATTCTCTGCTTAAGCCATGGAGTCCTCTCTTAATGCTGTCTGCTCCACTCAGCGTTACAATACAGACATGTAGGAAAGCTGTAAAATGAAAAAATCCCTTACCTTGTTGCCCAGTTTGAAGACCTCATCCAAATTGGTGCTATTGGTGTTTATCATAATGGAATCTGTGTCTCCATAAATCACTTCAAGGTTCATCTAAATGAAACAAATTGCTTTGAAAAACAAAACAGAAGCACTCTGATCTTTTTAAAGTCTCACCTCATTTTCAAGATTCAAAAAGATCACTGTCCATATATTATATCATCTCTTAAATACCAAAAGCAGAAAAATGTAAAGAAATTTTTTACTCAGAGGTCTGTACATTTCATTAAGACATATTTGAATTAAAAAATAATAATGAAACTTAAATCACCGATATGTTTAAAAACAAAAATCACTGTTCAGTTGTCTACATAATAAGTAGTTAAAATTTTACTAAATGAATGCTAGAAAAATAAGTATAATGTTGAGAAACAGCAAGAACTCTAGTCAGGAATAACTTTGGATTGCTAGGATACAAGAAGATCACTTAGACTCTAAGACTGCTGGACAAATTCAGGCTATTCAGATAAGACATTTAGCCAACATGCTTGAAAGATAACACTGCAGTCAGGTATCCTATCCCATTTGTAGCCATCACAATACTATTGCAAAAAAGCCATTCTGGATTTTTAAAAAAAATTAAAATACAGCAAACTTAGATATTCTATTTCAAGCAAATCTGGTGAAAGTATTGGGTAGTGGATACAGTAACTGAGAATACCACAGCACTGTCCAGATTAGGCTGCTCTTCTTACACTTCTTTGGATTATGCTTTGTATTTCCATCTTTTTTCTTTTGCTGTAATCTAATTACCTGTGCTAGTCCTCCCCTGGCCAGCAGGTCTTTCAAGGAACAAGACGCTCCTTCTGGATAAGGATCTGGTTACTACTACAAGTTCTGTATCGCCAGGTTGAACTACTGAACAATTACACCCGGAGATGAACACAAATACCTACTTAAGTCTTTCCCTCTGACTGACACTCTGCCCTTTGCATCATCTGTCACTCTGATCCTTATGACAATTCAAATGCTCTACTTGGAAAAGACTGTGTTCAAACACCAGCCAGATTGCCATAATACTCTGGAATAATGGAGCAAACTCTAGACCAACTGGAGGACTTAAAAAGGCCTGAGGTGCATAATGGATAGCATAGCATAGCAAGGAAAAGGTGAAAAGAAAAAAACTGTCCACATCAGTGAACGTCACCAAAAAAATGGGCAGATGCATCCAGTTACATAATATTAACTAGAAAAAATGATGTCTTCAGTGGCCAAAAACCAGAATAACAGTAAATAATGCAACATGGCTGTGTCCGTGCTAAACTCCATATTGTCAGAAAACCACCGTGTGGCAGAGTTTAAAGGATGCCAAAAAAGAAACAGTAATAAAACACTAGAACACATGGTGTAACTGGTCTATGAGTAAACTCTAATTAGCACTGTTGCTAATTTGCTTGAAACAGTTGCACATAGGCTTCAAGCAGGGGCCAGATCATATCTGTGGTAGGAAAAGAAAAAAGCTATAATCCATTAGGAAGGATTACATTTGTAAACCAGGCATCCTAAGAAGTGATTTCAGGTCTGTTTGGGTTACAGTTCTCCTAGAATAAAAAAATTTCACCAGGTGTGCTCTTTAAGGGTTGTTGTTTAATGAAAATGCTCAGCATTACCTTTTGCACCATCTCCTTGGTATGCATCAAAATCTGAAATAAAAAAAATAATCAAAGATTAGCGTATGATATAATTACAAGCTAACACATGCAAACATATCCATTAGGTTGCTAACTCCAAATGCTCTCACCTTTCAAAACAAAGCAAACCACCTCTCTCCTGGCAACACACAGTCACCTCAATACTCCTATTACATGAGCAAATTCTCATCTGACCTTGTATTAATGCTATTATTAACTCCCCTAAAACAAGATTAAAACAAATCTCAAAATTGCATGTGCACACACACATTCTACCTTAGGAAAAAAAGAACACTGAATCAAATGCTCAAATAAAACCTAATCAGGAAGTGCCAGAATTAAGCCTCTTTCAGTAATTTAGATCAGTTGTCCCCTTCATATCATTCATCTTATTTCTTGCTGTCATTGAGATTTTTCCCAAAAGCATCCTGTCTTATTCAGTACAGCCTGGATGGTGCTCACTTAACAAGAACCTAGTCAAAAGGCTGATTACCGTTGTAATGATCTCAAAATGGGTCATCAAAAAGCAAAGTCCTTAGGGAAACCAAAACTGGGACAAGGAGCTGAGAGAGACAGGACACAGATCTTGAATCAATGGGCAATAGCACCATGTGTGACCAGGTCTGTTCCTCAGCCAAGAGTGCATCCCAAGTTCCCTGACTCCTCTGAATAGCGATTCTCTGAACCTTACAGATAGCTACAGAGACCTCACATGAGGAGGCTACTGCTTCCATCTCTAGTACTGGTCAGCACGGTGGAGAGGGGTGGAAGAACTCCTCATCTGAAGCCACAGACGCAGCTATAGAAAACAGAGTAAACCCGGCTTGACGAACAGAATGTGTAGCTGCTGCAGCAGCAAGGGCTTGGGAAGGTTTGCATAGCTGCATGAAAACCAACATCTGGCCCATTCCTTCAGTCACCTGGCCATGTTTCCACTGTATTCCCCATTTCCTCCCTTGTCGGCATCCTGGTGCTCTTGCACACAGCCCCAGACTCCACCTGCTTGTTCCCAGTTCCTTGGTTTCAGTCCTTTCCATCCCCACTCAGCATAAACATCAGCTCTTTTTCAGCCAGTCCTGATACTCGTATACATTTATACTTTCATTTTTCTTACAGAGGATTACTTTAAACCGCTTGTTACAGGAACAACAGGTCAGAGTCTATTAGATGACTGTGAACAATTTGATACTCTAGCCTTAAAGATAGGCAGGCAACACACTATTTTAACAGATTATATTAAATTTAGTAACTTAGTCTAAATTTTATTATTTTTCATACATTAATTGCAATACTCCTTGGACATATTTGCCAAAAAAGGCAGAACTGTGATTTGTAATCAAGTAGTCTGTAACAGGGAGCTAAGCAGTAGAAGTTCGCAGGGGTGAAAGGATGAACAGGGAAGAGCTGGCCATGCTCAGTGGGAACAGGACCATCTTCAGGGAAATCTCATGACTTTCATAAGGCCAAGGAGCCTAAAATGAATCCAAGAGTCTTGACTATCGTGACATTGACTATTCCTATGGGAGCAAGCCATTCTGAAACAATGGTGAAATGTCCACCTCTGCACAGCAGTACACAAACAGGGTGACCACACTGTCATTCCTTCAACATTAAGGGCAAGTTTCTTTAACATTTCAGAACCTTTGGACAATCACCATGATGAATACTAAAGTATGATGCTGCACTATGCTTTTCCAGTTTGTTTTGAATCATGCACTGCAGAATTATGCACTGAAAGCTATATTCCCCTCACATTCCTGGTTTTCTGATGGTTGACTTTGCAAACTTAATATTCTCCTTCAATATAGTTTCTGTTCAGACACATTTTCAAGTCACTTTCACCTTCAAAGAGAAACCGCTGCACCTAGGGATGGACTCACTCCCCCAGAGTACAAAAACATGAACGACGTAAACATAATATACCATCATAATATACCGCTCCCTTTAAGGCACTTAAGGAAAGGTTAGGTTCCAAACCATGATGTAGCTTTGACACAGCTGACTCACAATGAATGCCCTTACCAGGGTTATTCCCCAAGCACACGTGGATACCTATGGATTTACACTCTCTGGGCCAAGTTCAAAGCATGCAGTTGTTTAGAGACCATTCACTGATGCTGCAAACTACGTACTCGGACAGCGTGATGCCTCAACTCTGTGGATGTCCCAGACTGCAAAAAGCTCAGCTGGCCTCAGTCTTCTACATAGACAAAGAGCAGGAAAATGGTGAGCCTTACTGCAGATTCGCTCTACGCTGTATGTGCTCAGACACACCCAATTCCATTTTAATCAGAAGCTCAAAAAAAGATATTCCAGTCCTATTCATCTCCTAGTGAGTGATTCAGATGGTACCGCCCCACCACCTTTCCATGCAGTTTTGAAATTATTCTACAGCCATCCATCACTGGTACATGACATCAAATTTCATATACAGTAATCAGATTTCCAGCTTATTCACACCCCCCTGCCTTTCTCTCACTTACTAGCCAACTCCTACAGGGAAAGGGCATACCTTTCCCTCAGTACTCCAAAAACAAACAGGAGGCCCTGAAACAAAATTTTAAAATTGGACAGAGGAATGATGAACTTCCATGTAAAAGAAAAGAAGGCCTACCATTTTCTTCGCCTTTATAATCTCAGGCATGTTCTACTTCATAGAAATAATGCTATCTATTAATAGCTATAAAGAGAACATTTTTTTTTTTAAATAGGACTACCCCCTGCTAAAAAAATTGTTTGGCTGTGCAGAGACCGTGTCTCAATTGTCTCCGAGGACAGCAGTGGATGTGGGTAATTACAAGAGGGTCACAGACAAGTTAGCTTCATCAAGTGACTGGCATATGCTAGCGCTACCCGTTCTGACAGGAGATCACTTGTAAGTGCCAACAGCTACAAAACAGAAGGTTATAAAGCCTTGCTAAATTCATTAATAAGGCAGTCGGTAGTTATCTGATTTCACAGCAACACCTGCATATTTATCTTCTCATTACCAATTGGATGATGGAATTTTTTTCAAGCACATTTCAAAAATCTGCCAACTTCAAGTGTAGAAAAAAAATAAACTTTGTAGTTAATTTTTCCCTTAACAAAGTACAGCTGTTGAGAATAATTGTTCAAGATCTTACCCTGTAATGTCAACTGCAGCAGAACAAAGAGTATTTAATTAGCAAATCTATCCAGTAATTCAACACCTATTATATAAAATGCCTTCGTGATTTTATTCAGGATAATTTGCTAAGAGGGTTATTACTGACATTCAGATGAAATTTAAAATTCCTACGCAAGTCGAGTCATAATAGCAGTAATGATCCCCCCAATCAGGAGATACTGTGTCACATAAGGTTCTTTTGCAATGCAGCAGCCGATTTCCTGACTTCTTAATTCCTGGGCTCAGCTCAGTGAGAGCCCTTCATGCCAATATTTCAGTCAGCAATACATCCTTAATGGGACTCTATTAAAATACCTAGAATAAAAATGACTTTTTTTTTTGGCTAGAAAGAATGACAGCACTGCTATCATATCAATCATTAGCCGTTTCTCAGAAACGCACAGCAAAGGAAGGGAGGTTTATAGTGAGGCTCGGAAGACAGAAAAAAGAAGGAAGAGAATAGGAAAATTGTTACTCGGTAGTTTCCTTTTGCAAATAATACCTCACTGCTCATGAGAGCTGGATTGTCTCCTACTGCAGGCAACCCAAGTAGGAAGAATTAATTGCCTGGCAACCCATCTGTACAGCCATGCCCCCTCCCTCCCAGCAAACATATACTTCTAAAAACCTATGAACTTCTCAGCACACTGAACATCTGTGAAATTCTATTTTAACTTTTTTCTTGTAAAAGCAAGACCAGCAATGCACATTCTGTAGCTCATAAACTGTGAGTCAATACAAACTGGAATTGCAGACAAACCATCATCAAACTTGCAAAATTCTGTGCCCTAATTCTGCTCCAACTCATTACTTAATTAAATGAGGACGTGATTTAAGAAAGGGAATGATTAAAAATAAATAAATATACAAATAACAGCTTTAAGATTATCCATTACCTCAAGTATTTTTAAATATATCTTATTTAAAAACCACTAAAAAAAAAAAATCACCTTCTGATGAGAGGATGCTTATGTGAAAACAAGCTAAGACACCCGAGTTAAAAGACAATGGGATAGCGTACAAAACTAACATGCTGATGCAAAGATATCTCCTGATGACACAGAAAACTTCTGTAGATTCCTGGGGCCACAGCCATGAAGGAACAGAAAGGAAAAAATAAGACCAGACTGAAAAGACTAACCAGAATGATTACAAAAATAGTACACCAAAGATGCTTACAAAAAAACCAACCAAATCACTTATGCGTTCACTTTGCACAAGGAGAAAACCTTAGGGCCTTGGCAATACCTGTATTTTTGAAGACTACCTGTAGTTACAGTGTAGATGTGATATTTGTTTCTACCTCAGCTGTCTACTTGTGCAATTACATAGTAGGAAAATAATTCTGTCATCAGCTTTACTAACACATATAGGCTACTCCTTCCCATGGCACAGAGGAGCAAATGGGCAGGAAGAACTCTGATCCAGTAGGGAACACCACTCCCTAACTCATACAAGAAGTATTTCTGAATCTCTGTATTTCTGCAACCTATTCATGAGCTTTGCAAGTATTTTGTGATAAGTAGTCTCCAGCAATGATAAACCACAGCCACAGGATGCTGCAAAAGGATTTTATTAAGGAGGATTTTCAAAAGAGGTTTCTATCACTGGACAAAAAGGCACATACGCCATAAGCAAAAGTGAAAGAAAGATGGAAGCCTTGTTTGCCAAAAGGAATTAAGCATCGCGATGTTGCCTTTCCATTAGACAATAGACTTGATTTGAGAGGTTTGAGTGACCAGATTCAAGTAGTTATTAAATACGTTTGTTTAAAAGAGCTTTTACAGAATCACTGGATATTAGGAGTTGGAAGGGACCTCGAAAGATCATCCAGTCCAACCCCCCTGCCAAAGCAGGATCACCT